TGCTAGAAATTCGTGACGTAATCACTTTAAAACAAGTTATAATTCATTATTTTATGTTTGTTCAGTACAAAATAGTGAAATTTGTTTAAATCATATGTTATCCACATTAGTTATGCAATCAGCAAACAAATATAGTGTTTTCTTTCCAGGAACTATTTGCGCTAACGTACCCTCTTCGCTCAACATAATTTATGTGTATTTATACGCCAAAACTATGTCGGATGCGGTTTTCTAAATCTTCTAGTCTGGAGCAGATTTCTGGCTCAATAAGAACATTTCCTGATGTTCGCATAATGCAAGTATGCTCACAGTAGGTGTATGTAGACTTTTTGTTGCAAGGTTTATCCACTTTAAAGGAAAAAGATCTGGCATTTATCGGTGCAACGAATATTTATAATTTCAAGTGGATCTTACATATAAATACTATTGATCCATGTGTATGCTAACAAGGCATTTGTAAATATAGCAATGTGATGTACTCTGGCTGTTAAAACAGCCCGCACAATCTCAGAGTGCTTGGGAGCTAAAAATACCATATATATCTTGTTCCTTTAAACTTATATACCTATGTGCAGTTGAAAAGTTGTGTAAAATTAGTACTATTATCTGTGCAAAATATTGTATGATAACATAAAAGTTTCATTTCTGTTTCATTCATCTAGAATCTAAGGAACCTTCTGCAACAGATGAACACTTACATAACCGTGATCAAAGAAAAAGAAAATTCTCTGACAGAAAATATCAAAAACATCGCAAAGTCGCAAGATGCAAGCGCCGTAGGTGCAAAGCCAATCTAGGGGGGGTCCGGGGCAATTTTTGATTTTGGATAGTCTGAAACTCAATTTCCCGCATTCTGAGCAATAAAAAGCCGCTGAAAAAAAAAATAATAATAATAATAATAGTGCCGGGCGGCAACCGCGAGTGCCGGGCACACCCGCCCACCGTGGGCAGAACCCTGATTTAATATTTTTGTCACCTACTTTTGTGGTCTTCAGCATTTGGCATGGAGAAATCAAATTTATTACTAATGGATATACTAACGAATGACACCAGAGCATGGAAGCACATTAAATATAAAAATTTCTACCTCTTTCTTATGTATTTTCTTCACAGCCTTCACTATGATGCTATCGTCTTGTAGGCTCTTCTTGAGTGATTCCAGTTTTTGTTGAAGTGCTAACGTTTCCGTATGTTCTTTTTCCCAAGAAAAATGATAATTTTTTAGCAGATGTGATCTGTACAGGCATGTGTTAATATGGTATTTATCTTTTCATAGAAACTCCCAAATGAAAAATAATTCTAGCCCTGTCACAAGAATATCACACACCTGTTTTTCTTCAGCATTTCTCTGAATAATAGCATTCTGCCAGGCATCAATCTGCTCATGAAGCTCTCTCCTCTGGTTCTCCTTTTGTAAATGAATGGCCTTCTTTCTCTCCCGCAACTTCCGACGACGCATCTGCAAACCACAACCACAGAGGTTAGTTTCTTTCTAAGCAACTGACTACAACCATAGATCAGATATGTATATATATATATATTATTATTATACAGAGAGAGAGAGAGAGAGACAGAGAGACACAGAGTTTTAGTTCAATTTTAGTTGTCGTTTACATATTTACAGGGTTCTGCCCAGGATTTTTTAGTGCCGGGCGCATCCAGTTGCGACATTTTAAGCCTGTAGGCCCTACTTACCTATTATAAGAGGTGCTTTTACTGCAATACAGTCACACACATAGTAGCAGGTTGGCACACAGGTTGCAGTATTAGGATATTTTGACAATATACATGGGAATAAATGAAACACTCATTTAATATCGGTAACCTGCAGTGTGCACAGGAAAATACTACCAATTCAATTAAACTATTAACAGTAATATAATAAGAAGGAGAGAATGTAATGAGAATGTGAGGCTAGATTAGGACAATAACTGGTTATACATGGTATACAATGGACTAGAAAGTTTGAGTCTGTGCAAAACTCAAAACAGTGCAAGGCTACTGGGACATCCTTCAATAATAGGGATGCTAGAAATTATAAAATGCACCTTGTTAGTAGTAACATATAGTAATACAGGGGTAGAAATTAACTTTTGAACACGGGAGTCCAACGGACTCCTTACCCTCAAAAAGAGGGAGTCCGCAGCAAAATGAAGGAGTCCACAGTCTGAAGTTCAAAATTAAAGATATTAAAAATTACGCATGTGCTTATTTTTAACATTCATGCAGTTGCACGTCTGCCAAATTTTATTGAAAAAATACGGTATTTCTATGAGGCTGTGCTCTGGAACGAACTAGTTAGAATGGCAGAATTTTCAGGGAGTCACACGGACTCCTGCATATATCAAATCAGGGAGTCCGACAGTAAATCCGTGAGTATTTGACTCCGTACTCCCGTTAATTTCGCACCCTGGTAATAAGATAGAAGTATAGATGTATAAAGTATAAAAGTAGAATGATAATCAGTAAAATGCTTTTCTTCCTAATGGGAAGAAATTTCTTGCATTTCCACACACGGCGACAATGTGTACTTTGAATGATGTTAATAACATTTCAAGTATTCGTTAATGGGAGTTCATATCAGAACCTGTGCTGTGTTATCTTCAGGAGGCACAGCTTAAGAAGGAAGCCGACGAGACTCTAAGTGAGGTGCGCAAGAAGCTGGCAGATGTTGATCGCTGGCTCCATCTACTGGCAGCACTTGAGCAGCTCCGGCAATTGAGGAAGGAAGCCGCTTTTAGAAAAGGCAAGTTTTGCCACAGACTGAAAGCAAGTGACTGTTGGTAAAGGTACCTACGTTGAGTACCACTGTTTAAAAACCCTGCTAAGCTATATATGTTAGCCGTGTCATTAGCTTTGATTACTTATGTTCTTGATATATATTATGTACTTTACACAGGCCTGAAGCCACCAGAAGAAACAGATGAGAAATTCACAGAACGAGTCGCACAGATGCGTAAAGTGATTGCAGGTCAGAGAGCTGTGTATGAAGCTGAGGAGAGGACGTTGCAGGTATTCACACTCATTCACCTGACATTAGAGCAGTGGCTAGGTCGAGTATAGTGTAGTGACCCAAAAAGAAGAAGAAGAAGAAGAAGAACCTGACATTCGATTGCTCTAGCCTGTTATTGTTGTCCAACACGCGAGCTTCCTACCGTAGTTCATTGCTAAGTGGTTGTCCGCTTACCTTGTAACAGGTTATGCTAGACGTTGAGCAGGAGGAGACTAAGATCAAGGAAAAGGAGAGGCAGGCACAGAGGGTTGGCCAACAAATGCAAATGAAACGCGATGAAATCTGTGAATCTCTGTTCGGTGTTCCAGGTATTATTACAGATTCCATACAACATCCCATTCGGATGCTGTATTTGCCATTTATTTTTGATAACAATTTATTGAAGGTATCATGTCACTTGGGTTGTGGAGTCTTTTCTTATGGGGTAAGGGATAGAACATATACAAATATTACCAGGAGTGTATAATAATAGATCTATCCACTATTATACACCTGATATTACCATTGCTATTTTCTAAATGTGATGAGTTAGAAAATGTTACGCGATTTGAAATATGCTAATAATGTTTGCTGTGAGTGAATAATGCTGTTTCATTTCCAGCCTTTTCTGTCTAATTTTTTCTTCAGAATACAAACTCAACGAAGTTACGTTTAATGATGAGTACTACAGCCAAGCCTTCAGGAATATTGAATGCTTTCTAAATGTTAGGTAATAAACTTAAAGTTTTAATGTGGTGTTTTATTAAGTAACTGCTTGACATGTATGTTAGATTTACTCTGCTTCAGAGCAGCTTATTACAGACTGTTTGTGAGACACATTGCTTTACATGGATATCAGTATAGGGGATGTTGATTTGACTAGCCTTTTTGATTAAAAAAACTTGGTGGTATTGTAGTTGTAATATCGCAATGTGTTTTCAGTTCCATCTGCAAGCATATAAAATATAAAATAAAAGTGTCAAATAAGTGATAAGTAATCACATGTAAAGTAACTTTAAACAAATTGATTATGCAAGATGCCTTGTAAGCTATAGTGTGTGATTGACGTTTTCCTTAATTTGCTGCTGGGTCATTCATGCTCTACATTCATAGGTTTTTTTATTATTATTATCAATAATGTTGTCTAATGATATTTAGTGCCAAAATATTGGTTATAACTTACTATGTAACTAAAATACAAGTAAAGACGTTTGCAGTACTTGTTCATGGCACCATAACGACAACATCGTTTGGGTGATCTCGCATGCTTAATCCTGTGGATTATTTACCTGCAGAAGTCAATGGGATGCATTCCTCGTGCCAGAGAACGAAGGTGCTACTCTCCCACACTCATGGGTGATGTCAGCGCCCCCCTGTGATACAGTATGGAGCTCTGCCGTTGATGGCGATGGATGAGAAGACGTGATAGCTGTACAAACAAAACTCTATTGCCACGTGTCGTGATTGGCCGTTTGCCGTGCATTTAGGTACTAGCTGGTTTCACAGGGCTTTCACCATTGCAAGGTGGGCCCTCTGCAGGAGATAGTGCGCGTCATCATTCTCCGAGAAAGCATGGCGGTCGTCTCGTTTTCGGCCAATACTTGCCATCGTATATATCTCATCACAAGATGAATGCATCGTATCTGACACAAGCTTCGTGTTGGTGAAACATGTCTGATCTGTCTCTGAGATATCTTGATGGTCAAAGATTTAGTCGGAGAATAGGTGAATAGTCAACCGATGTAGGAGAAATATTGGCAGAAGTTCAGCGGATCATATTTTCTGTTTAGAAAGTTTTTATCCTGCAGAGTGCACTGAGCAATGGGTTCATTTGAATCAAGCTTCTTTTATCAGAAACATCTGTGGAGCAGAATGGCACAGTTTAGTTGTTTTTCAGCCAGCTCGGTGCTTGGCATTTTTGCGTGGCAACATCTTGCCATATGTTAAACGTATGTGAGTTGCAAAGGGTGTATGATATAAATTCCTTAAGGAGATGACTGATGAATTGTCCAGAGTAGAGATGAAATCATGCGAATATCAGTTGTATTTTCCAATACGACTGACTTTGATTGGTTTTGAAAGTTCTAGTGATGTTTCTAGTGATTGTATATAGACTCAGCGGCGCCCGCAGATAGAAGCACTGGAAGCACAGTTCTTCCAGTAAATTTTGGGTTAAACAATTTTGTTCCTACATTTTGTTCTTAAATCTCTCTCGCAAGACTCACCAGATTGCATCTCCAGACGTCTACCATTCAAAAATTTTCAGGGGGGCATGCCCCCAGACCCCCCTAGCATGCAGCGTGCCTATGGCGCTTGATTTTTATTATCACTGAGGATTTTATCCTTCTGTGCTTCTACTTTCTTAAGACCTGTGGGCGCCAGCGTATAGACTACACACGTGCATAAGCCATATTCACACGGTATATATGTATACTCTTTCTCTTTCATACTTGTAATACTAAAATGAGTTTTGATTATTAAATTAGTAACCTTGTTTTGTATACTTTAACACGAACTGTTGTAAATCATTAACGTAGTTAACCATGTGTGTGTGTGTGCGTGTGTGCGTGCGTGCGTGCGTGCGTGCTGGCGTGCGTGCGTGTATGAGTACTAGTTTAAGCCTTCCGTCATTTGTCCAACGTGTGGTATAGTATACTTCCGTTATACGTACTGAATCGGGCAATCATTCCGAATTCTGGCGTTTTTCTAGAATTTATTTGAATTTGCATGAATATTTATATACGTTTACCATTTTCTACAGCGTGCGTAAATTGTATTTTAAATATCCCCATCTTCCTCCAATGTGTTTCATCTCAATTCGTTCAAGAGCTATTGATTTTCGCATGCATTGCGAAGTCGATCAACAAATTGTTTGCAGTGCTATCAGCATTGAGCCGTGTCCTACAGAATGGCAGCGGTGTAACTGAATGAAGGAATGAGTCGTACACTAGCCGACGTTCTGGCTCACTGTCACTGACGTACATACTAAACTGGTGCTGGCTGTTGCACTGACTGACCTACTGCTGTCTGCTGCCTAATGAGCAGACTGCACCACGAGTGTCTTCGGCTCAAGAAATTCACCGATGTGTCCCACTTCGTCGGACAAACATGTTTATCTCCTGTCAGATTCCTCAAGATCTCGACCTCATTGTCTAGTTCTGCTCGAGTAAGTGATCTTTTTGGACCAGATTGTCGGCCGCATTCAATCGCGTCGACCCACTAGAGGCACTGATTAGTAATGATGGGCCTCCTGTTGTGGGACATCCAGCCCATGCGTGCCCCGCTGCTCTCCTCTTCTGCTCCCTCGTTGTTTTACTTTCGGGCGAAACTCGTCGTATTGGCATTAGAATTATCATTAGCATATCTACACAGTATAGATATAGTGTATACATACTGTGTAGATATGTTAGTGGAATTTTAAATAACCGTTACCACCGTTTTGATCCAGAAATCTCTCTCGATGATTCGCGCGGACTCGTCGTGGCTCTCTTCTCCTACTGTCTTGTTTCTTCCTCATAATATTTTTTCTTTCTGTCGCTCCACTCGCTCACGTCCCTACACCTCTGCTCCTCCCGTTCTCATGGCAGAATAATGCTATGGTCTGGTCCCTAAACTCCGCCTTAAGTTCTGCCCCGAAATGTTATTATATCTCGGCAGCGCCATATCACGCACACACACACACATCTAATTAGCATATTAATCTACTTTGCGGCGTCTTATTGTTCGTTTCCGATCCTTTTATGAAGCTACTCATTTTGAGTTCGCTGCGGGCACGCTATAATAGCGTGTAGACAAGTTTTATTGAAAACTCGCATCGCGGCCGAGCGGCGAGATTGTGTGACCATTCTGTGACATCTATACTGCGCGCCGGCCACGGGCTCTTGCAAGCGACGGCTATAGAAAAACTGCCGAACGAAAGTCCGCATTCTGTTCCTACTATAACGAGATCGATCGGCGGCCAATGGGCGAAAGAAAAGGATTTACTGTCGGTTATCCGGTGCCTGGTATCTATCGATCGGTTCGACCGACAACGGCTGGCGGTAGTACAAGCGGGGGATAATACGTACTTGCTTCCTCCGTCATGTCCTTTCTCTCTCTCTCTCTCTCTCTCTCTCTCTCTCTCTCCCTCTCTGCTCCTCTCTCTTCTCTCTCTCTCTCTCTCTCTCTCCTCTCTCTCTCTCTTCTCTCCTCTCTTCTCTCTCTCTCTCTCCTCTCTCCTCTGCTCTCTTCTCTCTCTCTCTCTCTCTCTCTCTCTCTCTCTCTCTCTCTCTCTGTCTCCTCTCTCTCTCATCTCTCTCCTCTCCTCTCTCTCTCTCTGCTCTCTCTCTCTCTCTCTCTCTTCTCTCTCTCTCTCTCTGCTCTCTCTCTCTCTCTCTCTTCTCTCTTTCTGGCTCTCTCTCTTTCTCTCTTCTCTACTCTCTCTCTCTCTCTCTCTCTCTCTCTCTCTCTCTCTCTCTCTCTCTCTCTCTCTCTGCTCTCTCTCTCTCTCTCTTCTCTCTCTCTCTCTCTCTCTCTCTCGTCTCTCTCTCTCTCTCTCTCTCTCTCTCTCGGTCTCGCTGCCTGCTTCTCTTCTTCTCTCTCTATTCTCTCTCTCTCTTCTCTCTCTCTCTCTCTCTCTCTCTCACCCTCTCTCTCTCTCTCTCTCTTCTCCTCTCTTCTGGCTCTCTCGTCTCACCCTCTTCTCTCTCTCCCTCTCCTCTCTCTCTCTCTCTCTCTCTCTCCTCCGTGCGCATCGTGCGGCCACAGTGAATCCCTCCCCAATGTTTAGGCACGTCACGGTTAGTCGCAGCAATGCCTCCTGATGACTGCGCGCCGCGGCGTCTCGCCGCGCCCCTCGTGGCCGAGCTGCTACTACTAGTTACTAGTACGTCTGCTGGCCCGCTGCTGCTGCTACTACTAGTCTGCGCTGCTGGCTATACTGTCTCTAGTACTACTGCGGTGCTGCGTGCTGCTACTAGTAGCTGAGTACTGACTACTGCTACTACGTGCCTGCGTCTCGAGGGTGGGTCGCAGGGCTGAGACTTTAGCGGTATTTTTCGCAGATTTTAAGGGCACATCCCCAAAAAAGGGCGCACCACCCCACACGCCTGGCGCCGTTAGGCGCGGAAGGCACACTGCGGGGGTCTGGGCACCAGAATGTTCAAATTTCAAGGGTCCGCTGGGCACAAAAATGAGCACCATTTGAGCAGACCATTTAGTCAAGGCAGCAAACAGCTAAAAACGCATATGGAATTTTATTTCTCTGCTTCATTTTGCTGCGCTCTTGCATACCAGCAATTAATGCAGTGATTAAGACACTTCCTTTCTTTTTTTAGATATCAAGGCTGAGTTTTGTTACGCAGGGTAAAATTTGATTTCCTTCAGGTCCTTGTCAATGAATCGGAAGAAAAACTAAAACAAATAAAGAATATTAGTCAAATTCGCATCATAAATTGTTTCTGTATTTTTTAGCGCAATTTCGTGATGGGCACTTTGAAGTCAGACCGTATTTCGCCAATATCGGCAAATACGGTCTGAATCTCGCCGCCTGCTACTACCTGCTGCTGCTACTACTGCTACTACTGCTACTACTGCTACTAGTACCTACTGCTACTACTACGTGCCTTACTACTACTACTGCTAGCTGCTGCTAGTACATACTGCTGCTGCTGCTGCTGCTGCTACTGACTGCCACTGCACTGCCACTTGCGGCTGCTACTACTGCTGTATCTGCGGCTACTGCTGCTACTGCTCTGCCTGCTACTACTGCACTGCCTACTTGCTGCTGCAACTAGCTCTCGCTGCTGTGCGGCTACTTACTGCTGCTGCTACTACTACTGCTACGACTACTACTACTGCTACTGCTAGCTGCTACTGCTCACTGCTCTCTAGCTTGCCTACTCTACTGCTACTGACTATGTACGCCACTGCTGCCTACTACTACTACTGCGCGGCTGGCTGCTACTGCTGCTGCTGCGCGCTGCTGCTACTACTGCTTGCCTACTGCTACTGCCGCTATGCTACTTTAACGCTACTGCTCAATGCTACTGCTACTGCTACTGCTACTGCTCTGCTACTGCTACTGCTAGTCGCTACTGCTACTGACTACTGCTGCTACTGGCTGCCACTGCTGCTGCTACTGCTGCTACTACTATCGCTACGTTACTACGTACTACTGCTGCTGCACTACTACCATCTATAACTACTACTACTACTACTAATACTACTACTACTACTACAGCGCCCG